TTGGCCAAACCTTTAAAAAAAAAAAATCCTTCCGCCAGACCTCAGCCGATGAAGCCACCTACTCCCAGAGATCAAGCTTTGTGTCAAATTTTGGGTGGGGATGCCCAGGCGAAGATTGAAATCCGACGTGGCCGCCGCGCGGGTGGTGGTCGGGGTGCTTAGCAAGGAGCCGCCAAGATCTTCAGAGCAAAAGCACACATTATGGGTCCGTCAAACTTAGAGGTAAGATCTGCACATGTGCGTGCTTTTGAGGGCAATTGGAGAGTTCAGCTGGAGCTTGCAAGGCCCAGGGATGGATCTCAGAGTTGCCAGGGTTCGAGGCAGAGTCTGTAGAGGATGAAGCCGAAACCCTGCACCCTCAACCCAAAACTCCTAAGCCCCCAGCCCCTCCCCTATACCCTGAAACCCGAACACCTAAGCCCTAAACCCTAAACCCCTAAACCCCTATATAAACCCTAAACCCTAACCCAAACTACTTCGACGGCCGAAGTCGAAGTCTGCGTTTTGCAGATCCTTTTCCCGAAGTTCGAGACCCCTGAGGCCGCAAGCACAAACCCGAACATGAAACTTTGAAGCCCAAAACACTGGGTTTAGGGCTTAGGGTTACGGTTTAGGGTTTAGTGTTTAGGGTTTGTGCCGATCTAGGGGTGGCCCTGGAAGTCCTTAACAGTAAGCCTTGCTTAGCCCCTAAACCCGAACCCGAGGGTCTGAAATCTTCGACTCGAAGCCCTGGAAGCCTTTGGGCCTTGCGCAGGAAGGCCTTCTAGATCCCAATGGAATGCACCAGGTGGGTTGGGGGTTTAGGGTTCAGGGTTGTGGGTTGGGGGTATAGTTTGGGGTTGGGGATCTAGGTTGAGGGTTTAGGCTTCAGGGTTGGGTTCTTTGGGGTTTGTGGGTTTGGGGGTTTGACGCGCTAGAACGCCAGGTGTTTGGTCTTGTGTTTGATTTTCCTTCGGTGTTTCAATTCTTAAAGGCTTAAAGATTCCAGGATTCTCTGTGGGGTTCCAGGATTTTTTTAGCATGGGGGTTTCCCTGGGCTTCTGGTACGAGTTCATGGCTCAGGGTATGGAGTGCGTGCGTGCCTAGTGCAAGAATGGAAGAGAGCGGACGACTGCTTAGGCTCTCTGTTTTAAGTTTCTGGGAGGTTTCCGTGCCTGGGTTGAACCTTCAGGTGAAAGAGCTCAGGTCTAAAGAGACCTCCTGCTGGTAGGAGGGGTCGACTGGTTGAGCAAGCGTTCCGATTCGTTCCATAGAGTCGCTCCACAAAGCCCTAAGTCCTAAACCCTAAACCACAACTTGTGGCCTTGCTTCTTCTTTCTTGTGGGACAATGCCCATGACTTTACCCGCCTTAGCATGGACAAAATCCCGGAAGAAATCTGCTGCCTTGACATTCAGCGCTTGAACCACAATGCACCCCCCCCCATAAAACTGATCCATACAGCCTCCTCAAAGTCTTCTAACCCGCCAAGCTTCCAGAAAGTCCATGGATCCTCAGCCCTGACATTCACAGGCCCCCAGTAATTGCTGTGTGTTTTGACGCTTGTGTGGGTTAGTCAGCTAGTCTTCTTCTTTCGACTTCGTCCGCTAGGCAGGTGATGGCCAAAAACACCTACTAGTAAGTAGGTGAAAGGAGACATGAAGTCTTCAGGGCCCCCACGAGACTCCGGATTCAGGCTTTCGGGATTTGGGCTTTTTAAACCCCTGTACTTAGCCCCTGATATCAAGATTTCGGCGGCCTTCCCAGGAGCTCATGTGGGCGGAGAGGGCCTTGGTACCCGTCGTTCCCTTCTACGATGGTGATCGCCTTGCTCCCGAAGAGCAGCTCTGCAGAGGGTTTTGGTGGTTTTTTACAGTGGGCGCCAGGCATCATCCTCATCTTCGGTTTTGTTCTGTTGAAAGGAGGTGGGGAACTAGCAGGCCATGGCAGTAACCCAGTAACTCTAGTGGCTCCAGAGTTTTTGTGAGAAGGGTCTCGGGGCTGATGGATGTTACTCTGCCCGGTCGGCAGAGACCCCAGCTGCAGAACCCACGTCCCTTGCATTCCTCCTCGTTGTAGCCACGGCAAACATGGGGGGTTTCCGAAAATAGGGGACCCCAATACAGTACCCTAAATAGTAGGATCCTTGTTATAAGGACCCCAGAAGAAGGTACCCTAATTTTCGGAAAATCACATATTCCCCCGAAGACCAAAAACAAGGTACGACATCTGGAAGCAGGAGTTCAGCTTCCTGAAGCGGGCACCGGTCGTCTATCACCGCCGCACGCACATGCGGGTCAAGGACAGCCTGGTGGTGGCGCTCCAGGAAGCGATCGCGGACTCCTACCAAACCTCAGGTGGGGAAGATCTTCTCTGAGCAGCTACGGTTTAGTTTGGGGCTCGCGGTGGGTTTGGGGAGGCTGGCCATGTCTGGCATCCAGAGGGTTGTGTGCAAGTTAGTTTGAGAAATCACTGCCCCCCATTCTAGTGCGATGTCGCCGTTTGTCCTGGTACGTGGATCATCTTGAAGTAGTTTCTTTCACACCGAGATTGTTATCACCGAAAGCTGGCTCAAGACACAACCGGGCTTCATGCATTGTGTCTGATTCCATCGCACTTGCAACTGCGCGTTCATATAGCAAGTTTTAACTATTTTTTCTTTGCTGGGAGCTCCGTCAAAGAAACTGGCAGCCGGGCCCGAAAATCCGTCATAAAACCGTATGAAACTTGAAGAAGTCTTACACACAATCTCTGAAAGGAGCCGTGTACGCTGTGGAAAAACCTCTGACAGGGTCATTCAGAACCCTTGTATGGACTCTTGGAGGGAACCCTGACATGGAACTCTTCAAGGAACCCTAAGTTAAAGGAAACCACAGGTTGGGAGTTTGGGGTTTTTGTAGGGCTTCTCGAAGGCTTCTATAAGGTATATAGACCTTCTATAAGGCTCCTATAACGGGCAACTACCCACCTGAAAATGTCCTAGACTAAGACCAACCGTGACTAGCCGAACTCCCCTCTCCCCAGAGGCATTCACATGCCCCCTGCACTCTCGGAGTTGCTGGACACCCAGGCAGGAGTACCTTCTAAAGTTCTACAGGCTTCCTTTGCTCTTGGGCTCCAGGCCTCTTGGGCTCCAGGGCTTTTGGGGCTTTGGGGTTAGGGTTTAAGGTGTGGGTTTAGGGCTTAGGGCTTACAAGGCTTGCAGGGTTCAGGGCTTATTGGGTGTAGGGTTCCCAGTTTTCAGTGTGAGGGCGAAGTCTCCCATACCGCTTGTATCATGCTGGAACGGAAGTAGCCGCAACAGTGGCATTAGTATAGCTGCAAGTCTTCTACACTGTATTCTTTTCTTCGTTCATTATGATGTCGGTATGGCTATTTTTGAGACAAAGCGATCTATTCTGAGACAACCCTAAACCTAAACGCTCTAAACCCAAAGCCTTAAACCCCAAACCCTAAATCCTAAGCCCTAAGCCCTCTAAACCCTGAGCCCAAACCCTAAAACCCTAAACCTTAAGCCCTCTCAACCCTAAGCCCTCAACCCAAAACCCAAAACCCTCTAAACCCTCAACCCTAAGCCCTACGCCTTAAACCAGCCCTCTAAACTCTAAGCACTCTAAACCCCAAAACCCCAAAACCCGAAGCCCCAACCAGACAGGCGGCTCGCGCCCAGAAGAGACAACAGCGATCCGAGAGGCCGAAGGCGCCAATGGCAAAAGACAGCGACGAGGAGGAGGAGGAAGAGGAGGCAGCATCTCCCGTTTTAGGGTTCTTATACTTGATATCCTACCTGTTGGGATCTACGTTAAGCTACGTCATGATTGAGGGTTTTAGGGTTTACGGCATGTGCACATTTCCGCGGGCGAGCTCCAATCAAGCCTGTGTAAAGGGCATGTGCACTGCAGGGGTTTCATGTCACAGTTTGAGGGTAGTGCTCCTACAGTTGTGTCCTGTTGATTGTGCCACACAGGCAATGGACACATATCCCAGGACCATAACCGATTGCATAGCAATTGCACCGCGATTCAGTACGTTTGTGTCACCCTTTTGGACATGTATGTACCGCATATACATGTGTCTGTAGACACGTTGCAGCACATCGTTCTACACGCCACCCATCATTCAAACTTCTACCACCTGAATCCTAAACTCCCAAACCCCTAAACCCTATAAGCCCTGAGCCCTAAACCCGACGGTTCTACCACAGAAAGTCGAGGAGAAGAAGACGGTCCGGAGCACCAGCCCGATGTCCGAGAAGCGCTTCCGGTTCCGCGACGAGGAGGTGGACGACGAGACGAGCCCGACGGGCGTCACGCGCTTCCTGAAGACCCTGAAGGATCCGCGGGGTGCTGGGGTGTAGGTTTAGGCTTCAAGATTTGGAATGTAGGATGTGGGATTTCGGAGTTAGTGTGTAGGATGGGCATGTGCACTGCAGCCCCTCCTCAAAAAAAGGGTGTTGGATTGTCCAGACCCTGAAGGATCCCATGGGTTGGAAAGATCAGGAGATGCGAGACTTGGCCGACGTAGTTAGAACCCCAAGCCCTAGATATATAGTATATGGCATTTTATATATCTATGTTTGCACATGACATGTTAGATATTTTATGTTATACTTTGTTTACAGGCCAACGACCGAAGGTGGTGACCATCAGTCCAAAAAGCAGAGCGGTGAGAGCAGTAGACGACGACGACTACTACTGCTGCTGCTGCCACT